TGTAGCATTCAAGCGAGGTGGCACTATAAATGATACCGTTTGAAGCACGGTCCCGCTACAAACAGACAACATTACGTTTACATTTTCAGGTCACACGCAGTCATACACATATTGGGAGATATTAGCCAGGTGGCATATGGCTAGTAGTTAGCGCCTGATAAGGCAGCTCCTGCGAATTCCTCATTAAAAATTGTATTGAATTAATGTACATGTATATGCTTATTGTATTAATTGTATATCTATGTAATGTAAAGTGGCTTACATTTGTATGTTAGCTAGATTGGGCGCTACATCAAATGTTGTATATATGGATATATATAGATATTCAATGCTTTTCATAAAATAACAACAAAAGGGCAAATTAACTTCCGTATTTGGAGAATTATTTAACATATTTCACTTGTATAAAACGAATATGTGATAACAACCAAAAAACCCAGCGTTGTGGCAAAATATGTCTTCGTTGCTGTCTCGAGAAGTAATAACTATTATCCAAAGGGGCGGGGGGCTACGATTGACCCTTTAACCTAGAAAATGGTTGATATTTTATCCAAAATAGTCAAATAGGGACTTTGTCAAAAGAAACATATGCAAAAACTGCTGCAATTTTGACAAAAGGTGTGAAGGATCTTTTATACATGTATAAATCGTCTTATGTCCCAGCTTTTCTCTCTCAGAAGATGACGTTATTACCAAATCATTGACATTTGGCCTAAACGTGCGGTTAAAACTAGATATTGAGCGTGAATGGAATATTCTGAACAACACAATTAATGTCATTTACAATTGATGTGTTTATGATTCAATAGATTCAAGTATGCAGGATCCGTTCCCTCGTGGTTGATGGACAGCTGTCAGTAAGTCATTTTCATAAACAGGTTTGGTGTCCAGCAGCTTTGCTGCATTTTCTTGTTATATCACACTTCATGGGTACTCTTGTTTTAAATTGCTTTAAGATTTCTTACCGGCAACTATGAAATGTTTCCATATTGACGTCACTTCCTGCCCGGCGACCGCACCACAGTTTTCCTTGGTAACTGTTTCCTTGGCACCAAGCACTGGCCGTGGACGCTGATTCTGGCGTTTGTCGGTCAACAGAGTAAACCTGTAACATATCCGGCACAAACAGTTCAGTAAACATGTAACATATCCGGCAAAAACAGTTCAGTTAACATGGAACATATCCGGCAACAACAGTTCATTAAACCTGTAACATATCCGGTACAAACTGTTCAGTAAACCTGTAACATATCCGGCACAAACAGTTCAGTAAACATGGAACATATCCGGCAACAACAGTTCATTAACCCTGTAACATATCCGGTACAAACAGTTCAGTAAACCTGTACCATATCCGGCACAAACAGTTCAGTAAACATGTAACATATCCGGGACAAACCGGTCAGTAAACCTGTAACATAGCCGGCACAAACAGTGCAGTAAGCATGGAACATATCCGGCACAAACATTTCAGTAAAACTGTAACATATCCGGAAAAAACAGTTCAATAAACATGTAACATATCCGGCAAAAACAGTTCAGTAAACATGGAACATATCCGGCACAAACAGTTCAGTAAACATTTAAGATATCCGACACAAACTGTTCAGTAAACCTGTAGCATATCCGGCACAAACAGTTCAGTAAACCTGTAACATATCCGGTACAAACAGTTCAGTAAACATGGAACATATCCGGGACAAACAGTTCAGTAAACATGTAACATATCCAGCACAAACAATTCAGTAAACCTGAAACATATCCGGCACAGACAGTTCAGTAAACATGTAACATATCCGGCACAAACAGTTGAGTAAACCTGAAACATATCCGGCACAAACAGTTCAGTAAACATGGAACATATCGGCACAAACAGTTCAGGAAACATGGAACATATCCGGGACAAACCGGTCAGTAAACCTGTAACATAGCCGGCCCAAACCGGTCAGTAAACCTGTAACATATCCCGCATAAACAGTTTAGTAAACCTGAACCATATCCGGCACAAACAGTTCAGTAATCCTGTAACATATCCGGTACAAACAGTTCAGTAAAGATGGAACATATCCGGGACAAACAGTTCAGTAAACATGGAACATATCGGCATAAACAGTTCAGTAAACATGGAACATATCAGGCAAAAACAGTTCAGTAAACATGGAACATATCGGCATAAACAGTTCAGTAAACATGGAACATATCGGCATAAACAGTTCAGTAAACATGGAACATATCGGCATAAACAGTTCAGTAAACATGGAACATATCGGCACAAACAGTTCAGGAAACATGGAACATATCCGGGACAAACAGTTCAGTAAACATGGAACATATCGGCATAAACAGTTCAGTAAACATGGAACATATCCGGGACAAACCGGTCAGTAAACCTGTAACATAGCCGGCCCAAACCGGTCAGTAAACCTGTAACATAGCCGGCTCAATCTGGTCAGTAAACCTGTAACATAGCCGGCTCAATCTGGTCAGTAAACCTGTAACATAGCCGGCCCAAACCGGTCAGTAAACCTGTAACATAGCCGGCCCAAACCGGTCAGTAAACCTGTAACATAGCCGGCCCAAACCGGGCAGTAAACCTGTAACATAGCCGGCACAATCTGGTCAGTAAACCTGTAACATAGCCGGCCCAAACCGGTCAGTAAACCTGTAACATAGCCGGCACAATCTGGTCAGTAAACCTGTAACATAGCCGGCCCAAACCGGTCAGTAAACCTGTAACATAGCCGGCCCAAACCGGTCAGTAAACCTGTAACATAGCCGGCCCAAACCGGTCAGTAAACCTGTAACATAGCCGGCTCAATCTGGTCAGTAAACCTGTAACATAGCCGGCCCAAACCGGTCAGTAAACCTGTAACATAGCCGGCACAAACCGGTCAGTAAACCTGTAACATAGCCGGCACAAACCGGTCAGTAATCCTGTAACATAGCCGGCACAAACCGGTCAGTAAACCTGTAACATAGCCGGCCCAAACCGGGCAGTAAACCTGTAACATAGCCGGCACAAACCGGTCAGTAATCCTGTAACATAGCCGGCACAAACCGGTCAGTAATCCTGTAACATAGCCGGCACAAACCGGTCAGTAATCCTGTAACATAGCCGGCACAAACCGGTCAGTAATCCTGTAACATAGCCGGCACAAACCGGTCAGTAAACCTGTAACATAGCCGGCCCAAACCGGTCAGTAAACCTGTAAAATAGCCGGCACAATCTGGTCAGTAAACCTGTAACATAGCCGGCCCAAACCGGTCAGGAAACCTGTAACATATCCGGCACAAACAGTTCAGTAAACCTGTAACATATCCGGCGTAAACAGTTTAGTAAACCTGAAACATATCCGGCACAAACATCAATAAACTTGTAACATATCGGGCAAAAACAGTTCAATAAACCTGTAACATATCTGACACAAACATCAATAAACTTGTAACATATCTGACACAAACAGTTCAATAAACCTGTAACATATCCGGCACAAACAGTTCAGTAAACCTGGAACGATAAAACTCAAAGATATTGATTCTGTTTTGATCTAGTTCATTAAATAAACTTTATGTAGCAGGTAGTGTTACAACGTTTGAACATTAAATTCCTAGTATGATACATCAAATGACTCAGATAGATACAATATATGTCACTGGCATAATTTGCGTTTTCACAATATCACGGGCCAGTCATATAATCTTTCATAGTTTCCCGCACGTTGTATTACATATTGTGCATTCACACCTGAAATGTCACTTTAACAATAACGTCATTACTCAACATCGCCTTTATTGTCACAGATTTAAAACATCAGTTTGATCGCGTTGATGCATTTCAATAAGAGATGATTTTTAATTATTCGCGTTGAAGACCACTTTATTTCTCTAGTACGGCAGAATACTGATATTTTCACGATTGAGAATCACGATCGATGTGTGTATAATCATAGCGAGACGAAAGAGATTTTCTTTATGTTCTATTTTACAGTTCTGATTTTGCTGTTGATCCTCTGCAATGGCATACAAACTAACCCAGGCCCAATTGATTCTCTAAATAACAACTAAAGTGCATTTTATCATGATAATATTACAATATGTCATGCAAATGTTTGTTCTCTAAGAAACAAGACCGATGTTATTGAAAGCGAATTCTCATTTAAACTAGAAATTGTTGGCTAACAATTTGGCGGGCTTTTTATCCCTGTATCGACTGATTTGGTCTTCTAATAATAACCTGTGCAAGTCTACAGTAGCTGACTGGGTAGTGGGGGGTTCCCGGAGTGCGAAATATAGGCAACCAATGGGCTTAGTTGTATATACGAATGTAGTCCGTAAATGTCGTCATATAGTCCGTCCACTATGTACGTCTGGATGATGAATTGAAATAGGTTTTTGTCTATATCGGTTGGGTTTGCCATGCCAAAGAAAGGCTGATGTTTACCCATCGCAGTAGAGATGTAAACTGTCCCTACTTTTAAGATTGAGAGTGCGTAGTAATCGATGTAGTATTACAAATCAAAGTACTGAGAGTACTGAAAGCACTTCACAATCGCACAAAAATGAAATCGGTTTTTGACTTTCACCTTTGAAATTACATTTAGAGTAGGTCAAGGTCGTTCATTTGCACACACTTTAAAGTCCTTCATTCAAGCATGCTTCTTTGCCAAACATCGTTACCCTGGAGTTATTGGTTATTCAGAAAAAATGGTTTTAATATTTTTACACAAATGACCTCTGTGACCTTGAAAGTCATTCAAGGTCAATACTTTTTTTAAACTCTAATCATCTGACCATGTTAATGTATTAAATAGTAGGACTCTAGACCTTGTAGAACTTTAGAAGAAGTTTTTTGAAGTTATTATCTTGAAATAGCACATATGAAGTTTGTGACCTTGATTGTGACCTTGATAGTTAACCAATCAGAGTTCGTGGCGGCCATCTTGGAATATTAATTGCTCCAAAAAGTAACATGAATTCGTAAGGGCCCTAGAGGATTACATGTACAAATTGTGGTTAATATTGCAATGGCAGAATTGGAGAAGAAGATCGTTGAAGTTTGTAAAGTTTTAACATATTGTCAGCATTTAAAAAGATCAAAGGAAATATTCAAACTGGCGTGCAACGTTAACGGTAAATGTTACAGAAAAACTAAAGACATCGAATTCATCGGAATGACATTCTTCATCGATCTGTTGAAGAATTCTTCAAAAAAAATGTATCGAGAAAAAGTTAGATATGGAAATGATCTACAAATAATATAATCGCTTAAATTCTGTACAATCAACAATTGTCGAGTTATAGTGGTTTTTAAGATTTTAACCTATGACGTCATGGCGGCCATATTGGATTTTTGACCCACTTGAAAATGTTGCAATAACACCTTCATACCATGTCATATATTGTACAATATAGACTGTGATCATATCTACTACCGTTCAAGATATTACGAACCCACAAAAATGCCACAAGAATAAGAATAAGAAACTTAACAAAAAAATAGGTCTTTTCACCAGTTGGTGAAAAGCCCTAATAAAAATATTGCTGATACTGATATCCTCCTAGACGACCACAAAGTTATATTTAGGAAAGACAGAGAAACACACAGGGGTGGAGGAGTGGTAGTTTATGTAAACGATTATCTGTATGCTAAAAGATAATACTTCCCCCTACTTTGTAAAGGGAATATCTGAATCTCTAGTTAAACCCTTATTAATATTATCTAATAAATCAATAGAGTCGAGTTGTCTCCCTTACACATGGAAATGTAATAATGTTGTCCCTATATATAAAGGTAAAAGTAAAAAGTGTGATCCAACTAACTATAGACCAATCTCTATGACTCCAATATTTATAAAAATGTTGGAAAAAATCATTTTTAAATACTCATAAAATAATTTTTGTGACATAAGTAAGGCATTTGACAGGGTGTGGCATAGAGGATTAATACACAAATTGGAGAAATATGGAATTAGGAATAATATGTTGGGGTGATTCAAAAATTATATCAGAGATAGAAAACAAAGAGTAATATATGATGGTTTCCATTCTACTTAGCAAATGTTGAAACCTGGGGTACCTCAGGGCTCGGTCCTAGGACCATACTTATTTCTTTTGAATATTAATGATCTGGAAAATGAGATAGGATGTAATGTAAAATTATTTGCTGATGATACTTCACTATACATAATAAAAGACAATCGTCATCAGCAAGCAGCAACCAGTCTGAATGAAGATCTACGCAAAATATCAAAATGGGCAAATGATTGGGGTATACTTTTTAACCCAGACAAAACTGAATCTTTAGTAGTGTCTAAGTAATTTACTGCAGTTAAGCTACATTCACACCTAGTATTTAATAATATCCAGGTAAGTAATATTACAAATCACAAACATCTAGGGGTCTATTTAAATTAACAAGGTAGCTGGGCACATCATATACACTTTATTTTTGAAAAGGCATCTAAAAGAGTAAATGTCCTAAGAATGTTAAAATAAAAAAATTGTAGAAATGCATTTGAAATATTGTATACTACACTTATCAGACCTATTCTAGAGTATGCTTGTGTTATATGGGATAACTGTACAAGACAAGAAAAAGATCTCTTGGAATCTATCTAGCTTGATGTTATTAGGATAATTACTGGTCTAAGAAAAGGTACTAGCCATTGTATATTATATAAAGATATGTATTGTTAAGAGTGAACTTAGCTAAGAATATTAAACATAATAACAATAAAATCAGAAATGTAAAATGTTTGGATGTTTTCCTTTGGTTTCAAATGATAAAACATAAGTTGTAATTGATAAGTGGACTTACTGTAACACATTTAACAAAATTTATCTGCATTAAAAGGAAGAATACCAATGATTAACTTGTCACAGCAGCGTTAAAAGATCTCATAAAATATTATATACATTACCATAAACGTGAGCAGTCAGAAGCGCTATGTAGATTAGCTGTAGAGTCATCAGTGTTTATAATGACCCAGAACACACGTAAAATTCCGGATGTGATGAAACCATTTGATGCGTATACAGGTAATATAAAAGTAATATGGAGATTCGTACATAGCATGTCATTGCTGCGTTCATTTCCTACATACACCGTAGAAAATGCTCTAGAACTCTATTGTTTTAGTTAACTAGTGTTCGAATAATAGAAACAAAATTGTAAATGATTCCTTGGAAAAATAGTATCGGCTCTATGTAAAGTCGAAAAAGTAAATTCGGTTTAGCTGAGCTTAGAAAAAATTAAATTGAATAAGCGTCAAGATTTGAACTTCAGCGAAGTGTTATATCTCAGAAACAACGCATTCGTGTCGACCCTGCCATTATACAACATGACTAATGTATGCAAACAAAAGTAACGCCACATTTTATGTTGTTACATCGATCATAGCGTGACGGTGGTTTTATAATACAGGTAAGGATTAGACAGTAGTTCAGAATAAAAGTACAAATGTTTTTTATGTTTGTTTTTAGTAAAGTTGAGATCATTAAGGATTTTTTTCACCTTTTCCCTACAACAGTTAACCCTTTTTTAACCATACGCTCACATCATTCTAAACGAGTTGCCTGTACAACTTGTATATATCATGACCTCTGAATTAATTAATTCACATACTGTCATAAATAGGTCATAACGTACACGATAATAGTTGTCAGATTTCCAAAACACAAAATATTAAACCTAAACAAAGAAAAATGTAACTATGATGGTGTAAAGCGTATAATACCAGCAGATTCAAATCTCTTTATTTGTTTCACAATTTTACAGTCTCACCACTTATTACAAAGTTGCTTCCATTTGGTTGTTTCATTTCTTTTCCAAAGTAGCTTCCCCTTGTTTTTTTTATTTATTTAAAAGTAGCTTCCCGTTGATTGTTTCAGTTCTTCAAAGTAGCTTACCTTTGATTGTTGTTTTACTAATTTCAAAGAAGATTATCTTTGGTTGTTTCATGTTTTCAAATAAGCTTCCCTTTGTTGTTTTTTTTACTTCTTTCAAAGTGTTTTTTCTTTATTTCATCCACTATTTAACAGTCGCTCTCCTTTGTTTGTTTAACTTATTTCACAGTTGCTTATTTCGGTTACTATCAGTGCTTGGCTCTTACTTGGTATGGTAGTAGACTCACCTTCTGTAGTTTTTTTATATTGTTGATTTTATTATCAGAGTAGTTGGGACCTATCCTCCGGACATTGGTGTTCAGAGGCATGTTCATACAGTCTGAATCTCGTCGTTTGTGAAAGGGGGATGTTTTCGTAGTGTTGTATCTAAGTCCTAAGGGCGGAGGAACTGACCAGTGTGGGTAGTTGCAATATAGATATGTACGTGTTTTCCCGTTGAAACTGGTCTTGTCAAAGTGTTTCTCACGTCCGAGCTGTCGAATAGAAAGTATTACCTGGATTCAAGCATACAGCCTTTTTATAACTATGTGAAAAACACGCACTGTGCCCTCTAGGAAACTTATTTTTGAGATAAAATGACCCTATCGGGCCATACTCTCCTTATCATATGTGAGTACTTATCAGACCAAAATGTAGGTAAACTGACGAAAGAATACGTTACATTATATCATCGTTTCCATCTGATTTTTAGGTCACCTGAGACAGAGTCTCAAGTGACCTATTGCGATTCGCCTTTTGTCCGGCGTCGTGCGTCCGTAAACAATTTACATTTTCGACTTCTTCTCCAAAACCCTGGAACCAATTTCAATGACATTTTGCAGAAACCTTCCATGGACAAAGGTCAACCAAACGTTTGAATTATATGGTCCCCAGACCCGGGGGGGCCTGAGAGGCGGGGCCAAAAAGGGTCGAATTGACTGAAATTTCAAAATATTCTTCTTAAGATCCAGATATGGTAGAATCAAATACTCTTCATAGATGGAAGTCTCTTAAGGTGCCCTTCTAAAATTGTGAATTTCATGACCCTGGTGTCTCACGTTTTTCGCTGGGGAGGGAACAAACTTCACTATAGTTTATATAGGGAAATCACATTTTGGACCAACATTTGTTTAATTTCCATTGGAATCAATTAAAACTTCGGTAACATTATCAGTATTGGATAGCAGTTTGATGGTATGCACATATCAGCCCTGACTGACCCCCAAGGGCTGATGGGTGGGGCCAAAAAGGGTCGAATTGACTGAAATTTCAAAAATCTTCTCCTCAGTATCCAGATATGGTGGAATCAAATACTCTTCATACATGGAAGGGTCTTAAGGTGCTTTACCAAAATTGTAAATTTTCATGACCCTGGGGTCTCACGTTGCCCCCTGGGGAGGGGGTAAACTTTACTGTAGTTTAATTGTGAATTATATGGTCCCCAGTCCCCAGGGGCATGAGGGGCGGGGGCAAAAAGGGTCAAATTGACTAAAATTTCAAAAATCTTCTTCTCAATATCCAGATATGGTGGAATCAAATACTCTTCATACATGGAAGGATCTTAAGGTGCTTTACCAAAATTCAGCTGACTGACAGAACCACTATTTGTACATAGTTTTAAATTGTACATATACTACCCAGATCTTTCACACTACTTTTGCATTATGTGTAGTTCAAGTTACCTTTGTCATGTATTTTTGTTAGGAAGTATAACAAGATACCAGTATTGTACTTTATTAACTGTCTTATACATGAGTAGCTATAAGCTTAGTTTGTGATAGTGAAATTACGGTATAACACCGAAAATCACATAACGCTGTAGCATTGTCTCTTACATTCATAATATCTGTGTCATTTTCATATAAATCTTTGGAGCAATCAATACTAGTGATTGACATGTTATACCATCTTTACTCTGTCTGTTAGGCTATAAGAATATAATAAGAAATCTGTCAGATCGACCGCACAGGCCTTTCTGCCTTCTAGGGCGTCTTCATGCGGATTGATTTGGACTGACGGATATATTATTTTATGATATATTTTCCTTCGCAAGACTTGTTGATTTATTATCTACACATATATATATATATAGGTCTCATAAGTAATAACGACAGTTTGATCCAATATTGGCACTAGATCCGAACAAACAAATGTTGGTTGGATGCATATTACTTAAATAGATATATGGGTAAAGAGGTAATAACGACAGTGCACACAAAGAAATGTGTCAAATGTTCAGGGCGATGTGCCCCTTAATCAAGACAGGAACATGAACATTTACATATCACAACATAAAACAGATAAAAACAGTCACCATGAGACAATAATACAATACAAAATACATAAACCATCAGAAGTTACTTATATAAAATATGCTGTTGTAATTGCATATCCCCTCGGTTAGCTTGTTACCGAAGGGTAATTATAGTAAATAATTCATCTTGAATACGTGAGGTCAAGTGAATTTATACTATAAACACGGTGTATCTGTACGTCGAAACAGCTGAACTACTCGACCAAGTATTAAAATGAAGTCAAAGATGAAAAACGTGGGGTAATGTGACAGAACATGAATACAGAACGTGGGGTTTTGTGACAGAACATGGATACAGAACGTGGGGTAATGTGACAGAACATGGATACGACACGTTCTGTCACATTACCCCACGTTTTGTATCCATGTTCTGTCACATTACCCAACGTTTTGTATCCATGTTCTGTCACACAACCCCACGTTTTGTATCCATGTTCTGTCACACAACCCCACGTTTTGTATCCATGTTCTGTCACATTACCCCACGTTTTGTATCCATGTTCTGTAATATTACCCCACGTTTTGTACCCACGTTTTATACATGTATCCATGTTCTGTCACATTACTCCACGTTTTGTATCCATGTTCTGTCAACAGAAAAGTTTTTTAGCGCCGTGTTTACACGAACTTCTATGACCTAAGATTTTCTCATTACATTTGTTTAGAATTTTAGTATAAATTCACTTGACCTCAAGTATTCAAGATGAATTATTTACTATAAATAGCCTTCGGTTACAAGCTAACCGAGGGGATATGCAATTACAACAGCATGTCTTATATAAGTAACTTCTGTTTGTTTAGGTACATTGTATTTTGTATTGTATTATTGTCTCATGGTTTTGCTCTGTTTTATGTTCTGTTATGTACAATTTCATGTTCTTGTATTGATAAAGAGGCAGATCGACCAGAACATTTGACAAACCCTTTGTCTGCACTGTCGTTATTACATCTTTGCCCATGTATTTATATATATATATATTACAGGCCTGTGTTTAGTTGTCCTTGACTTATTAGAAATAACTTTAACTAATGCGTCAACATGTAAATTGTTTTGTAAAACAACTTAATTAACCGCAATCAAATAATACATCAGACCACCTGCGCATCACACATGAAACAAAAAATGTGCATTTCTCATCAATAATAATAATTTAAAGGACGATCTATACTGATGTACACCACATGGGAGATAACTTAAATCGCCATGTGGTAGTTCATCAAACAAACAAACGTCAAGGGGCTAATTTTAGATTTTGAAATAAATACGCTTACTAACAGTAGTCCTTACACGTTTCCTCAGCTTTATTATTACGACATGATGTTGGTCATTTCAACTAAATAACAAACATCATTGACAGTCGGAATAAAGAAATAAGTTTAATTGCGTTTCATGACCAGCATGTGTTCCGACGAATGAAGTTTTGGTTGTAAGTGTTGCATGAATACAAATACTAATTATGTTGCTACTAAGTTGCGTCTTGCGTTTAAGTAATCGTTTCAAGCGGTCGTGATATTTATAACACAATTCCGTAAATAACGCTTTATTGACGATAAAAGAACATGGAAATTTCTTATCTATTTACAATGCAAGTGTGTATATTGATTGATGTAAGTATGCTTTTGTCGTGGAAGTGTTACTGTGACCTTGCAGCGAGTTCTAAACAATCCGGTAACGTGCCAACCAAAGCAGTCTCTAGAAATGGGATTGGCCCTCACGTTCTTAGGCATTAATGTCGTTTTGTTTTTAAACCGCTTGCAAACCAACATAACAAACGACGTTAAGTTTCAATTCAGGTAATTATTTATTATCTGAAATATCAACCACAGTATCACAACAATGCGGTTACAAAATATGAAACAGTACTTATCTTCCAATTATATTTATAAGTTATTTTCTGCGTTACTTTATCGATCTCGCAAACATCAGTTCTTCATTATCATCAAATCAATGCAACAATCCCTTCTAATCACACATTCGAATCAGCAAGATTGCCTGAAATGAGCTTCTTCTCTGTTTGTAGACCTCCTAATATCCTCTGATCTCTCCAGTAGAAGTACTTGTAGAAGCTTTTATAACACTTTTAGGATGTCGAACGTAAGATATTCCATTCCTTTGGATATTCTGAAGGCTACTATCAGTATTCTATAGGACGACAAAGACCAATATGTAACGATGTTGACGGAGATAAATGCTCTTATGAAACACAGTTAATGTCTTTGTTGACCAGAGGTCTGACACGACGATGCCTCATACTAAATAACAAATGGAGTAAAATTATATGATTGTTTATGTTTTTTTATCACTATCAACATATATATATGAATAGCACATAGGCATCGTTTTCCTTCCAAATATACCAGCTTTAGACGTACTTCTTTTTCCATTTCAGTGCTTGTTTTAACTTCTGAAGCTCTGTTATGTCGTGCCGGAAGTAGTGTGCGTACCGGGACTGCTCTACCTGCGACAGCGTTCGTCGTACATTGGCAAGGTGGTGGTTCTGAATGGTGAATTTGATGTCTGGAATAAAGACAAATGAATTGTGAAATATTTAAAAGGGTCTCACCATTTGTTATTCATTGTATATATAGGAGTACAGCAGCAAATGTTTCATAAGATTGTCATACTGTATTACATAACTGATTTAGCTCCCGTATACATGTCTATACTAGCTGTATCAATGTTAACATGTTTAAACAACCTAACTGATTTAGCTTCCGTATACATGTCTATAATAGTTGTATCAATGTTAACATGTATAAACAATCTAACTGATTTAGCTCCCGTATACATGTCTATAATAGTTGTATCAATGTTAACATGTATAAACAATCTAACTGATTTAGCTCCCGTATACATGCCTATACTAGTTGTATCAATGTTAACATGTATAAACAATCTAACTGATTTAGCTCCCGTATACATGTCTATAATAGTTGTATCAATGTTAACATGTATAAACAATCTAACTGATTTAGCTCCCGTATACATGCCTATACTAGTTGTATCAATGTTAACATGTATAAACAATCTAACTGATTTAGCTCCCGTATACATGCCTATACTAGTTGTATCAATGTTAACATGTATAAACAATCTAACTGATTTAGCTCCCGTATACATGCCTATACTAGTTGTATCAATGTTAACATGTATAAACAATCTAACTGATTTAGCTCCCGTATACATGCCTATACTAGTTGTATCAATGTTAACATGTATAAACAATCTAACTGATTTAGCTCCCGTATACATGCCTATACTAGTTGTATCAATGTTAACATGTATAAACAATCTAACTGATTTAGCTCCCGTATACATGCCTATACTAGTTGTATCAATGTTAACATGTATAAACAATCTAACTGATTTAGCTCCCGTATACATGTCTATAATAGTTGTATCAATGTTAACATGTATAAACAATCTAACTGATTTAGCTCCCGTATACATGCCTATACTAGTTGTATCAATGTTAACATGTATAAACAACCTAACTGATTTAGCTCACGTATACACGCCTATACTAGTTGTATCAGTGTTAACATGTATAAACAACCTAACTGATTTAGCTCACGTATACACGCCTATACCAGTTGTATCAATGTTAACATGTATAAACAACCTAACTGATTTAGCTCACGTATACATGTCTATACTAGCTGTATCAATGTTAACATGTATAAACAATCTAACTGATTAGGCTCCCGTATACATGTCTATACTAGTTGTATCAATGTTAATATGTATAAACAACCTAACTGATTTAGCTCACGTATACACGCCTATACTACTTGTATCAGTGTTAACATGTATAAACATCCTAACTGATTGAGCTCCCGTATACACGCCTATACTAGTTGTATCAATGTTAACATGTATAAACAACCTAACTGATTTAGCTCACGTATACATGTCTATACTAGCTGAATCAATGTTAACATGTATAAACAATCTAACTGATTTAGCTCCCGTATACATGCCTATACTAGTTGTATCAATGTTCACATGTACAAACAACCTAACTGATTGAACTCCCGTATACATGCCTATACTAGTTGTATCAATGTTAATATGTATAAACAATTTAACTGATTTAGCTCCCGTATACATGCCTATACTAGTTGTATCAATGTTCACATGTACAAACAACCTAGCTGATTGAACTCCCGTATACATGCCTATACTAGTTGTATCAATGTTTACATGCACAACCAATATAACTGATTTAGCTCCCGTATACATGCCTATACTAGTTGTATCAATGTTAACATGCATAAACAATTTAACTGATTTAGCTCACGTATGCATGCCTATACCAGTTGTTTCAATGTTCACATGTATAAACAACCTAACTGATTTAGCTCCCGTATACATGCCTATACTAGTTGTATCAATGTTAACATGTATTAACAACCTAACTGATTTAGCTTCCGTATACATGCCTATACTAGTTGTATCCATGTTAACACGTAAAAACAATCTAATTGATTAAGCTCCCTTATACATGCCTATACTAGTTGTATCAATGTTTACATGTATAAACAACCTAACTGTTTTAGCTCACGTATACATGCCTATACTAGTTGTATCAATGTTAACATATACATACACACTAGCCTGAATTAGTTTGCATTAATATTTTGTCATATTATTCCCGATACCTGATTGGGCAGTGCATCATGTGTCCACCGATAAACACCGATATTGACTTGGAGCGCGTGATTTTTGTTGAAGGACTGAGTATTTCTGATAATAGAATTATGACGTGTCGCCAAACGAACGCACCGTCCCGCTTCCGTAGCTTTTTTGTTGTGTTTTTTTGTTTTTTGTGTTGCTTACATTACTGTTTTTGAAATAATATAACAACTGTAGCCTTCAACTTCGGTCGATTTCTGGACATTTCGACCTCAGCAAAATGCTTTAATTGAGTATAATGAATACATCTATACAAGCTACCTACAAAATACCTCTGATATACTAGTCTGTACTAGATTGTTTCATTGTACAAAATAGTCCGCCAAAGGAAAGTTTCCGGGAATGTTGTTTCATAATAAACGTAACATGTAAATCCTGATTCGTACTATTTAATGTAACCTTGTCTGGAATGATAAAGACCTATCAATCAAGTCAAATTCCAGAATTCTTTATATTACAGAAGAGCAAACACATGACTGGCATTGCCAATATTAAATGTAACGTTTTTGAAGTCGCCCTCTTCAGTGAAATTAATTCAGTGTTTCATAATTTTCTTGTTTTAATACTTAATTCAATTGGTAATATTTATTGTTGAAAACACTATAAGGAGTTGTCGTACAAATACGACACGAACATTTCTCAATCCATTTTCGTCTTACCTACATGTATGTTTCACTTTACAACTTACCTCGAGAAAGCCTCAATATTTCCGCCCTGGTGTTGGCGTTTTCTACCTCCTCGTCCTCCATAGGTATATGATAATAAACACACTTTGTGATAGCTGACTCGATGCCATCCAGAGTGTCGGCCACTAGAGCCAGTCGGAGATTCTTCCGAGCTTCCCGTTGTTTCCTTGTCTAGGGAAAAAAACACATTAGCGATTCGTGAATAATGGAGCATAGATCTTACATAATAATAATAATCTGAGTTTCTTATATACCGCTTTATCACAACCTAGTTCGTAGGTCGGCGCAAAGCGGTTCACCAATTATTATCCCTGGTTATAGGGACTTTGCAATCAGCCAACAGCTTTCTCAACTCCCTGTGGAAAAGACATGATGTGACGGACGCAGCATGTGGTTCGGAAAACACTAGTACTTCTGTGTACCTGCTTTCATCTATGTTATTTGTAGTTCATGTATTTTTCGTTCCGATTATTATGATATGTTTCACTATTTTTCTTTTTCGTTTCTGTCACTATAAAATGCATTATCTGCATTACGTGTTGTCAATGTGAGTACAGTGCGACACATTGATATATAATTAGCTTCAGAAGAGTAATTACCAGGTTTAATACCTAATACCACAGCGTTCACGAGTTCTTTTTTGCCAATTAGTATAAACTGTTATACAAGATAATCTGATTCCCCCCCCCCCCCCCAATATATCTTAACTAGATATGACAAGTTGAATAACATTGTATCACCATGTATTTCATATTTATGTTTTTATTCTATTTGTATGTATCATTCGGAAGACCATGATTAATAACACAGTGATATGTACTATTGTGGCAAAACTGTCACCATGTCATTTTCTAACGTTGACATCCCGGTGAATTTTAAAGTGGAACCTCTCCGTGTAAATAGCGTTTAAATTTGTTGTTAATATTTGTTCTACATTTGTTACCAAGTAAGGTAAAAAAAATCAGTTTTAAAAGTACTTTTAATTATGCTAAACAATTCGCATTGCAATATTGTTGATAAAACTATATTGTTACTAACTTTATAATATTCAGGCTTTGCCTGGGAAATATATAGAGGTTACACAACGAGTGGTTGTTGAATATGGTATTTATTTCACTCGAGTTAGTTAATTTTCAAAAGTTACAAAACACACGAGCTTTAGCGAGTGTCTTTCTGTAACTTTTGAAAATTTGTCGGATTTGTCGGATTTGTCGGATGTTGACAGCCGATGACGTAAACAAAACAGCAGGTGGCAAAAAGCACGTGGAAAAAGTCTTCCCGGTCAAAGTTCATCTTATCGACCAATCAAAAGTCTTGAAAGTCATATACCACATGTGGTATATAACTCATATTTATCTAACAGTCTGCGTGTTTATACAATGATCTGAGAGTGGAATAACACAGCGTATTGTGGTAGAAACAATTTTGACAAATTATGGTTACAGGCTATTCAAGTCATGAGCTAACGGGTTTTGTGTCTTAAAAAATAAATGACAGGGACACCAAATGCTATTTACAAGCTTCACCAGTGGTCAACCTGTTTCTGATATGAAACGCTTAATGCGATAACGAGAGTTTATACTGTATAGCGCTTTAAATTCGCGGGGTCAATATTTCGCGGTTTCATATTCAGTACATATTCGCGGGGGTTTAATTTCGAAATACAGATAAACCGTTTGAAAACACTGATCCTGAGCGTCATCATCCGCCAGTGACAATACTCGACAGAAAATCTAATATGTATGTACCTTTGTAGGGTTAAAATGAAATCAATTAATCATCTACTGTGTACACATAAATATGTTGTGGACACTTATTTGTAAGTGTTGTTTTTACATGGACTGCCAAGTTGTCCGGTGATAATCTGATTCGAATTCATATAAGCTTGCATAAAATCGTTGGGTTATAAATATTTTCAACATATTGTTATAAGGTCCGTAAAAGTGGTCAACATTTTCGATGATTTCGCTGGTGTTTAGAATTCGCAGCTATTAGTCAAATCGCGAATATAGCGAAATTAAAGCCCCGCGAAATATCAACGCTATACAATATTGTACCTGATACGTAAATGGGTGAGTGTTATATTGACCTTTAAGATATACCCGTAATACAAGTGCGTTTGTCCTGGCTCATTTCGGACATGTCATCAGCGAATATCTCACGGGACGGCGCTTCATCATTAATATGTCAACATATGAACGTTGTATTTATATACATATAATGGATAGATATGAGAGGTTTTCCGTTATATTACATGATTACAAATTTTGCTGTCAAATGCAGATATTACTCCTCTAAAGTGTATTGAACATTTGGCTAATAATAAGGGAAGCTAGAGTTCTGACATTTTTCTTTCTTTGTGAAATTAACAAAGCATTTATTAAAAACCTTTCAAACGTAAGAACTATTAATAAATTGAAGGTGTGAAAAACAATTAGACACACTACCAAAGATGGCTTTTATTTTGTAAACAAATCAACTCACTTTTACTTATCTATTATATAATTCGACTATTGCTTTGACAAAATAAGCAAAACTAGCAAAGCTCATCTCTAAAAAGAATACATGATTTTATTACAAGGACTGCTCCTGATTCCACTACCAAACATTTATCTCTTGCGTCACTTACCTGTACTGCAGGAGGTATATCAGGGTTGGATATCAGTATGTAGCAGCAGGCTAGTTTCGATATCTTAGTCTGATTGGCTGAACCGTTGTCAAGCATGGTCCAGATGGACAACATGAATATGCCCTCGCCAGGAATGGTGATGTCTATGTCAACACAGCCTCTTTTCCTGTCTACCGTACTTCTAACGTCATTAGTGAACCCTTTGACCCCCTTTTCCTCTGTCTGCGCAAGGGTGCTAGTCACCTCAATTGCCTCGACTATGTCTTTTGCAAGCACAAACGATACTGTGAAAACAGTGCTGTGTCCGACAGAGTAAAACCCGTTAGAATGAGATGGAAACAATAACCCCCCGTCCTTAGCAGCTAATCCTGGACCGAACCCGACTTCCTTCGGATCAGCAGGAAGCATGCTACACTTGTCAAATCGCTTTTCACAGTGTAGTCGAAATTTGACTATTGGTCCGAAGTCATCGCCATTAACACTAGCATATATTGTTACCTTGTACACTCCCTCAATAGGCAAAGTCATCTGGAACATCCATTTCTCCTTGTGTTTGACCATTGCCACAAGCCTTTGGAGGTTGTCGTGGATTATCATCTTCTGAGTGTCTACATTGTGTTTCCCAGTACAGGTAACTAGTGCTATATCATACCAAAGATAGATCTCATCGGCAAGATCCTCCTGCGACAAAATGTCTATCATTACCCTACCTTCTTCTGAATGCAAATTGTACGAATTTTTGGAAACAAGTGTTAAGCCTAGTTCAAAGAATTCTGACTTGAAGAGAGGAAGATCCAAGTATTCTTCTTTTTGTAATGCCCGCTTTAACAGTTGCCATTTTGGTTCGTTCGGATAAAACCAGTTGATGCTTTGCTTTGGATTCATCAAAAAGTAAAAGTAGTTGAAAACAGGTCCCTCTCCATCGTCCTTCATAGTTTCTTTATTTGTTGGTTCCGATGAAAGCCACGTATGTTTCCGTCTGGTACATACAAAATACGGCATTATCAATTGCCATCTACCATCAAGATAGACAGCGATCCATGAGGTTTCAGGGAGATCTTTGCCATTGTCTGGTTCGTAACTTATCGGTTTGAATACGCCCGATATTTCCACTGACTTAATGCCAGCCTTTTCATACAGAATCGACAGAAAGTGCGAGTATTCAAACTGTGTGTTGTTGCTTAACCGTACGATGCCCTTTTCGGGGGTTTCATAATCAGCAGGGCCAGACAAGGGTGACGTCAAATCTTGTCTACTCAACCATATCATGATCACACGTGTTTTTAACAAATCAGGTTGGTTCATAAACTCGATACCTTTGAATAAGTAGTCGGTTAGGTGTTTGTAGCTGTCATTCAAAGTTGCAGGTGCCTTAAAACAAAATAGATATTATTATGAATTAAGGCAAACTTGTCCCGTTTGAAAATTTTACTTTATACATTTAGACGAACAATGAACGCATAAAAGGTGTCGCAAGATTTCAAAACTGATTTGTCCCTTTGTCAAGCTTCCGACAAAGGGACAATACAATCGTGAAACGTTGCAACTTTAAAACGTCTATTGTTTGTTTGTTATAAAAAAAACTTTCATTTATCATAAATATCAACGTTTGGATTGACTAATGAAGTGGAAACAACCGCGTTATCTATAAATGAATGAACTTGACTATCAAGCTCACAGTGTATGGTAACATTAGTTAAGAAATGTAATTTTATAGACATAATATTCCTGTCTACCATGATAACAATGTTATTGTTCATTTAATCGTGGCAATGAATAGGGTTAATTATTGAATGATGTATTCAGTGAGTAAAGTATTTAAATGGTCCAATACCAAAGTACAGCATATTCAAGCTCGCTGTACAATAGATATGTAATATGCAGTAACGACAATATTTAATGCAAAATTGAATTAAGACTAATCATTCCTCTTTCAATGACACTATGGCCAACATAACGAACAAATTTGATCGCTATAAGAAGAATATGTCAAACAGCAGATAAAAGAGCACGCGTATTAACTCAGTCAAGGTTCACCAAACTATATTTATATGTTGAAATAACTTGCTTTTCGAATCGCCTGTTTATTTTTCTAGATTATTCAAAGGGCCGGTTTCCAAAACGGCCCCTTCTCTGATTCAAATTTCCTGTTGGTGGTACATTGCCCATGCCGTTGTGGTCACAAATCTATAAAGTTTAAAGATTTAGGTCACTTGGTTTGTTTTTTATGGCTCCTCAAAGTTGTACCTTTCAGAAGCTGTCTAAGTGTTGATAAAATGTGCATGTTATGTAAAATATTAATGAAAATCTAATCAAATGATGGTCACCGTAAAGAATACATTCATGGCATGATTGTGACAAAAAA